ACTACAATGTCCAATTTAAAGAAATTTATTGGCACAACAGACAGCTATAGCTGGATGACAGGAGACAATGAATTCTTCCAGGCCTGCCATGCCATAGGGAAAATGGCTGCTAGTTTGTATATGCTAAATTCCTGGCTCAGGGTTTAAGGGCTTATCTAAAGGAATTTGCTAAAGCAGGGAATACAAAAGCAAAAAAATAGCAGATTAGTTTGCTAATAGGAAAACTAGATAACAATTAACAGGGTCAGGATAACAAGGTTACAAATCAGTTTACATATGTAGAATAACAAGACCATAAATCAGTTATAATGGTGCAAGGGTTCTTGAGGCACATAGTTATAGTAATTACTCTAAGGAATGTCTGGGGTTCATAATCACACAGTAAACACCACCTGTGGGGTTTATTTCTGCCCTATCTGCCTCAAGGCCTGGGAAGATGCACTGGTCTTAGAAGCTCTGACTTTTCCCAAGGAGCTCTATATTATTTCACTTGTTGTACCCCTCCCCTCTGCCCCATTGTTTGTGCACCTCCATTCTAGTGACTGGAGGGAGGAGTGCCTGAGTGACTGGACACCCCCCCACTCTCACCACTGGTAGGTTCTTCGGCCATGCATGCACACAGATACTCAGCCCAAGAGCAGCCCTGAATGTTATTTTGTTGTTGTTGTTGTTGTTGCTTTATTATGGTAAAGGCCAGCATATGGCTGTAGAGAAGGAAAGAGAGTTTAAAAACAAAAGAGACTGAAATTAAATTAAAGCCTGAGGTATAGCATAACAACCAACAGTGGCATCTTGAAATCTCTCCGGCAGTTTTGAAAGCAAGAAGCTGAAGAGAGGACATTAAACACATATTCATATTAGACTACACATTTTGTTTGTTTGTTTTTTTCTTCTCTCCCTCCTCTCCCTTTTCTATGATTATACACTGCAGTAACTGCAGTATTCAGTCTAGTTTTGTTTTTTGGTGTTTTTTTTCCTTATTTTTTTCTTTGCTGGTGTTGTTTGGCTGTTTTATGCTCCACCTTCTACCTTTGGGGGATTCTTTCTCTCCCTAAATTACCCAAGAAAAGTCAGCAACTGCTGCGATATAGTCAAGCTACAATCACATTCTATAAAACACCAAAACCCAGGCAAAAACCACTACCAAATGTCATATACCAGGGAGACAGACAAAACCTGTGAAAGCTGATCTGAGTCACACAATAAGAAGAGTGAAAAGGGAAGCCCACATGCTGATCACATCTACTGGAGTCAAATGGAAAACATAAAAAAAATACAAAAACACATACTCAATTAAGTATTAAGGCCACAGATAAACACCAAGTATGTCCAAGAAGCAAAAGCAGATGACAATATCAGCACATGTCAAGAAACAAGATAAAGTATCTGAGACAATTGACCTAGAGGTATCCCTGGATTCCATTCCGGAAGGAGG